ATTTATATATATATATAATATATATATATTTATAGATTTTTTTCCATATAGAAATCTACTATGAACAGAACATATAGTAAATACACAATTGGTACAATGCAAAAAGAGTCCAACTGCACCGTTCCTAGACCCCCCAAGGCCAAATCCCACGACCGGAAAGTCTGAACTCAATCCATACGGAATCCGCAAAATGCGCGAACTTAATCTCCAACTGTACACACAACAAAACGCGTAAACAAGAAACCCCGAAACATTCTTAGAAGGAGAACACAAAAATTTATCATAAAAGGAAATGCTGTACAAGTCAAAAAATACACCACCGGGAATAAAAATGTATTTAAAAAAAACAAACAAAAAAAACTGGAATTGTCATGGAAACCATGTCATGGAATCTCCTGCTAGCTGAGGAAAGATGAAAACGGTGACGGCAAAAGCCGTTCTCGCGTTGCAGTTTTCGTCGCATTGTACAGAAGGATTGTAATATCTGATTGTGAGCTCAATAAAATAAGGTAGTTGCCAAGAATCTAAACGTTCACTGGGATCTAAAAAGCCTGGAACCCCCTTTTGAGGTCAGTCTCTCTATTCTTCTCAGACCAAAAAAATAGTCAAAGTCAAAAGAAATGATCAGTTTACAGTATGTATCCCTGTATACATATACCTTATACGTATACAATATATACATATTAATGCAAACATTTATGTGTGGTTATTTCATATAGAATTAGTGTATTCAGTTTCTAAATGTCATGCAGGTTGTCCAAGAACGCACACCCATCATCCCCAATGGAACAGTTCTGCTACTTAAACCCGGTGTCGGACCCGAGTCCCACACCCCGCCGGCTCCCTGCTATCGCACCCGGGGCCAAGCGGAGCCTGGTTCTCTCACTCCAAGCTGCAGTCACTCGAGCGGAAAGAAGAAATTTAAACAAAAAAGGAGGGAAAAAAAACCCAACTAATCAAGACAGACAGTTTGAGCTGCTTGCCCGTTAAGCTCGGACACAGGAACGCCGAAAAGGGAGAAGCTCGACCACATTCCCCCCCCCCCCCCCAA